TATATATATATATATATATATATATATATATATATACATATATAAGAACTATGTAGTTGCCTTGGAATTAAAATCTGTTCTCTGTTTGATTTTTATTTTCTTATTTCTTTTTTAGATAAATTATACAAGTTACAACGTTATACCCCGAGCTTCTCTTTCTCTTTCGCCATATTATAGCAAGGAAAACTTCTAAGAGGATAATGAAATGTTCTTCTTTCTTCTTTTGCTTCGATTTACTTCCAAGGGTTAAACCAGTTTTGGGGAACAACCTCCTCACAAAGATCTGCTGGTATAAATAGAAGCAAAACTACACTGGTCATGACCTACTATAAACCGTATGAAGGAATTAAAGTGTAGCGGTATTACTTAACTGTCCTTTGAACCCTCTCACTATAATACAGCATTTACTGATGATTTAGTGCGAAAGAAGATATTAACATATCTTTTATTTGAATAACTATAAGGAGGAAAAATTACACATTGAATATTAGAAAGATGAACGAAAAAAATGCTTCTCAGTTTTTCTAATAAAATAAAACAATTCTCAATCGATTAATATCTGCGAGAACTGTCTCACCAATCGAAATAATAAAAAAATGAGGTTCTTTAAAACTGGACAGCACATGGAAGTACGCTAATCACTTACTTCTTCCTGGTAGTAACCGAGTTCAATGTTCTTAGTTGATAGGTTATACTTTCCGAGTGTGGAGCTGGGACAACTCCATTTTGAGGGTATAGATTTTAGTAATGGCTTGGGCTCTAGGTCCGGACTTGGTCCCTTTCCGAGCTGGTAAGATTCTGAATTTTTTAGTTAGTAATTCTATTAATTTGCATAGCAGCGTAAGTAATTAGAAAATAAGCTTCCTGCAAATGAATATTTATTTGTATATAACTACATGTATATACTATTAGCTCGCATAAGCTTAAGGCTTAGTATGAAAGCTTTCAATTCAAGTTTTAGTAACTTTGAGAAGGCAGCGCAGCTAGAGTATGAGTGGATATTTTTTATGTGTGTAAATTGGCAGTTGACCAATAACGTTATCACGTGGCCAAGCCCGCGGCATTGACGAGTAATTTACTTTTAGCTTGAATCTGTGATTAATATTTGTATTTTAATTAAACAATTTGGCATGTTTTACATTTTAGTATATTTTGTAACTTGTTATTATTTTCCTTTTATTTTTGGAAAAGTTAAGGATCTTTACTTACCCTTTATGATATCTAAGATGTCTATGTAATACTAATATTATGAAATGTTGCTAATACTAGTGTAACCACGTTAACGTAAGCATATATTATTACTACACCATAGTGCCAGTTATAACACAGTTAATCTTCTAATCGAATACTATTCCTAGTAGTAGTAATTAATAGTAATAGTAAATTTACCTCAGTAGTTGAAACTAGGAGTCCGAGTTGAACTTAAAGAGTGATGGTTTCCTAGTGGTTTTATAATATTAATAGCTATTGCTAATTGGATTTAATCCAAGATTCTTCTCTCAATCGTATTGTTGACATGTACAATAACAATGGCATATCTTCAATGCAGAAGTTTATTAACTTATAGACTGAATGATAAGATACACTATGAGATCACAACATAAATGAACAGTTATAAGCTTAAATTTATAATTTTTTGGTGTGTTTTAGGAAAGTAGAAGCCTTTATATTATAAATAATGTAATATGCTGTGTAAAATTTCACAAAATTCAATGCAATTGTACACTTGTATCACCTTAAGAATGTATGGGAAATTTTTGTGAATGTTTGAAATTTTTTTTGTACCTCCTAATTGTTTTTATCTAAAATAATCACAATCAAGCTAATACGTTGTGATCTTTAAACTTATGCCTATAATAAATATAATTACATTTTCTAATTCTAACCATACATAGTCCATCAATTAGATTATCAATGATCAGAAATATTATTTTTGTTGCATACAAAATAAGTATTAGTAAAGGGGGGCATGCACTACAAGTGCATTTTTAACAGTAAGAATAAAAGTGTGCAAACACAATTTATCAGTATCCAAAGCAAAGAATATATTACATACATAATGGACAAATGCCATTGCTTTATTAACTAGTACTTTAGTATATTAGTCCGTGTGCACATATATATATATATATATATATATATATATATATATATATGTTAAAGAGGGTATGAGTAAAGGAGATATGAAGTCGTGCTACGTCTTATTTTATAAAACGGATAGGATGACACTGGTGCATTTCAAATGTTGTAAACATTGTTATCCTACTAAACCAATTTTAGACCATATCCACTGTTGTCTACAGTTGTGCTGTTATTGAATTTGCTGTTGGGCTTATTAATCAGTTACATCCAACTAATTGATTATCTTTACATGAAACTTGGATACTGGGATTAATTGAAAACAGTAATAACGACTAATTTTGGTTAGTGGATTATCGTACATGTCAGTAATCAGTGTGACTGATTCTTGTAAATAATCAGTTATGTTAAATAGTCAAATTAATGCCCACTCTGTTGTTGTCTCAAGGCCTTAAGTTTCAATCAAACAACTCTGTACATATTTCTTCATGTACTCTGTACAAACTAAACTTTTCGTGTGATGCCAGAGTAGTTGTACATCCTTCATATATTCCTTTATTAGTTCATCTTTCAGGGCCAAGTTGAAATGATAGGAAATAAGTGAACTGAAAGTCGAGACTCTTACCACAAGTCATTATCTTAAGACTGATGCTCTATCTTCTAAGTTAATGGAGTTTCAAACTCTAAGCAGACACATCTTCATCCATATGCACTGCAATTCATTCCATTTCCTACATTTCATCTTTATACTTAGACCAGTTGTAGTACTGTCCCAAATTTTAGGAGGGATGGTAGGGAAGAAAGGTCATTGACTTACTGCAGATAGCAAAGATATTTATAAATTGGGAATTATTACTTTAAACTTATCAACTTTATTACGGAAAATATTTAACATTAATTATAACATTATAATTTATTTAGACTTACAAAAAATAAATGACTTTTTAATACTTTTGTACATTAACTAGAACCCTTTTCCAAGTTGATGAAAAAAAAGTTAAAATATATTAAAAGTAATTCAAATCAAGGTTTCACTAAAATGCACTAAAGAAAACTGTTGTTTAAAACATGCTAATGACATAAATTATGGGATGAAACTATTATTATTATTATTTTACTCAAAATGACATTGACATTAGTGAATTCACAAATGTAAAGTAACATACTGGAGATATGGAAATTTTGGAAGGACTTATTTCTCATATTAGAGGAACATTTTTGTTAGAAAAAAAAATTGGGTATAATTGTAGAAAGAAGTTTGAAGCCTTCAGCTGAAAGTTTGGCTATGAATAAGACATCTAGTAACCTGTAATCTATTTATGTTAATATTTGAGTAACTGGATTTTTCGTGATCTTCTGTATGACTATTTAAGCCTACTTTAAATGTCTGTACAGTTTTGCTTATCAACGTGCTTGGAAGACTTCAGAAGGGAGAGGGGGCACTAAGGTAACACATGCTTTAAAATATTTGACCTACAAAGAACTAGAGATGATATTATTAAATTAATTGCTTAGGGAATTTGTCCATAGGTGGTCTGAAAGGTCAGATGAAAAGGTTTGAAATAAAACCTGAATACTAAGGCCATTGGTGTTAAGCCTTAATAGCCTACAAGTAGACTTGTTTGTTGACATAATTATTTTTTGTTACAGTAATAGTTTTTGAAATGGTTTGTTTGATAACAAGGGCTGGGAGGTGAGGCAGTATCCTCTGGCTTAAAATATGTGGGTGCTGAGACCAGTTACGGGGTCAGATTCGTCTTTTTTTTTCTTTTTTTTCCTGCCCACAGCCATTTTAAATGTTGGCTGTGCAGCACAATGAGCTAGAAGAGACTAACGCCTTATCCTTATGGATGTGAACAATGGCATTCCGGACACACTGGATGTCCATCCCCTTATGACACTGGAGCACAAGTCTTCCTTTGAGGCCTTTTGACCAATTTTGTTCAGTTACTGCAAGTACAGTACAACTGTTCAGCCTATTTTTACGAATAAGAATGACATTTCTAAATTGCATTATCTAAGTCAATCATAATGATTGGTTCTAATGGATCGTACAATAGATTTTGGGTAATTCACTAGAAACAGCACTTTCAAGTAATATTTTACATATTTATGAATTATTTTCATTCCATGGATAATTTGTACTTTTGAAAATGTTTCTCAAAAATTGGTTGTTAATCCAAAGGTATGTTAATATTTAAAGAACTGTAGTTAGAAACTGCCATCAGTCTCTTGTTTAGTACATGTGGAGTAAAAAATAAGGAGTTCATATTCTTTCAGTACAGAAAAGGTTAGCAATCCTTTTCAGAGACTTGCAATTTTTTTTGTTTAACATTGCATGTTTGTCAGTATCTCCCACAAAACTATCGGTGGAAATTTATCTTGTAAGAATATAAATTCTTTACTTTTTGTTAATCCAGTGCCATTGTGATATTTACTAGTACTTTGAGAGAATGTGGTGTGGCCACTTCAGGAAAAAGTTAATTAGTAATATTAAAGTTAAAATATCCTGTAGTGCTGGATAGTTTAATTTTCCTTTTGTTTTGTTTGCTTTGTGTTTTAAACAGAAAAATTATTATGTGTTGATGCTGACTTCAACTTATTAGTATTTTTTTTTTAATGTGACAACAACTGATTGCATGGTTCCTGTCATAAATAGGAATTATAATTTTCTTGTGTTTTTCTGTACCCCTACAGTAAAAATTGCTCCATTGTCAGTGCATTGGTTTGTATCCTTTTACATTTGTACAGTAAGGAGGAATGACTACATTTAATTTAGTTTTGATGTTGTGATTATTGAGTGGTGTATTTAATGAGCCAAATGGCCTTGTGTCACCTTGCTTTTTCTTAAATTCTAAAAAAAAAAGAGAAAAAAAAGATGGGAAGCCTGGAAGCTATTTATAGAATGCTTGGGTTGAAGAGTAAGAAGATCATTGTTACTTTATGTAAGTTTATGGTGAGACCTCATTTAGAGCGTAGTGTTTGGTTTTGTTATAAAAAAATGACATGCTAAAAATTTGCAAGAGAGAGCTGCATTATCTGTGCAACAATAGATACAGTGTTAAAGAAAGTTGTGTATGATGAAAAGTTTAGACTTGAACTCATTTTCACTGGCGTGTGGAAGAATTAGAGGTGATTTGAATGAGATGTTTAAAATTGTTAAAAAATTGTGTAAATTACATCTGGAAAGTCCGTATAAATAGGAGAGCTACAAGGATGGAAATGGGGGACTTGATGGTAAGAGATGTTAAGTTTAAACTTAGAAGCTAAAATGTGAACTTGTTCCAGAGGAGAACGTATTATTATTAACTCGTAGAATAGCTTACCCGATGTATGCTGTTGTTTTAAAATTTATGAAATGTAATTCTGTGAATGAGAAAGCCGATATATTTTGTCTGTTTGTAGCATGAAAGGGTAATAAGGATGAGCTTAATGGTCTTTTTTTTTATTATCTGTAATGTTTGTTTGAATATTTATAAATAGATTACAAATATCTGAATACGTTGTAGATGAGTTTTGAGATACTTTTTATATTAAGAAAAAATACATTTTGAAATTACTGCAGGCTGAAATTATCATATTAGTCATTAAATATGTGAAGTTAGAATACTTTTTTTAATTGTGAGAAGATCGGTTTGGTCTGAGATCTTCGAAACAAAAAAAAAACAGTCTATTTTCATTCATTCTGAAACTTACATTGTGTTGAACTGC